CGGGGAGCTGGCAGACTGCTACTGTGGAGCAGTGGAGGGCTGGCTGCCAGTGGCTTGTGGGCTCATGTTCTGTGGCCACTGGGTCAGGGGCCCCGGTGGCCACTGCTGGCTCTGGGCTTGGAGCTGGCACAGGCACTGTAGCCAGAGTCTACCCATTAATGGCTCCGGGGCTGGGGGAGAGGAGAGTAAGTTTTCCTGGTTGTGCCCAGAGTGGCCACCAGGGCTCCCTGGGAAGGACTGGAGGCCCCCTATTTCAAATTAAGTGTCTACACAGCACTTAATTCTAAATAGCTATTTCGAATTTGGCATTACTCATAGAATGAGGTTTACCAAATTCTAATTAAGCGCTCTGCTATTTCGAATTAATTTCAAAATAGCGGTTTCCATGTATTGACGCTATTGAAGTTAATTCGAAATAACGGCTGTTAATTCGAATTAACTGCAGTGTAGACATATTCTCTGAAATTAGAGTTCAAGCCTGAAAGGGTTACTCTTTAATAGGAAGTGTTCTTTCTTACTACATGGTAAAAGCCTAATGAAGACACATCATTTGTAGCTTTGACACAAAAACAGCATATCAGGTTAATACAGCAGGGCAAGGTGAAGATTTGAGGGACACCCCCAAGAATTTACTATTTCTCACACAGCTAACTGCCTTGTCTTCTCTAGCATTTTACCAAAGGAATTAACACTAGGAAAAAACCCACAGCTTTTCTTGTTATAAAGACGGCAGCAGGAAGAAGTCTCCTGAAAGTTTGGGAATAGAAGACATGGTGTAGCTTGCAGAGCCAATCTTTGAGCGAGCACAACCATCTGCTGAAGAATTGGAATAGTGCCCCCTAACTGCTTAAATCTGTTTGTGTCTTTAAAAGAAATCCAACCTATTGCTATTTAGCAAAGGAAGAAAAAACCCCTCAGCATGCTCTGCTCCCCCACTGCACAGCAACAGAATGTTCAAGATGGACTTCTGTTCAGGATATCACCACAATGGGTGGCTACTCTTCACAGCCAAATACTAAAGCAAGGATTAAATAAAAGGAAGTCCAGACAAGACAGTTAAACTGTCATGGATGTTCTCTCCTAGGCCACCCTGCTCTGGAAGTGCCAGCAAGCCGCTGTTCTTGATTGTGATAAAGCTAAAGTGAGCCCTGGTCTTCCAAAGCAGATTGCAGTTAGTCTCCAAGCTCAGCTATTGTGCTACTCCCCCACTGCAGGTTAAAGAGCCTTGTATGATTTCTCTCCAGTACAAACAGGAGTATGGTATAAAGCAGGGGTGGGAAACCTGCAGCCCACAGCTTGCCTGGATCTGGCCCCCAAAGCTTGGGGCTTCCCCCACCCCCAGCATTGGGGATCCTGCACTAGCACTCCAGCTCCCCCCTCCCCCCCAATATCCCACCACAGGGCACACAAGATCTACTAGCCCAGGGTCAGAAGCCCCCACCCCAGAAAAGGTTCCTCACCGCGGTATAAAGCATTTTACGGAACTCTTTATTAGATGGTATTGTCATATGGAATGGATGTGTAAGACCCTGAGTTGTGTCTCGGCAAAGAGGGTTCAGAAGGGGAGTAATGACAGACAAACGAAGAAGCTAGAGCCACAGGAAACAGAAGGGAAGAGTGAGGAGAGCCAATGGGCAGAGAAAAGAAAAGGCTCTTGCCTCTCACTTGGCACACACAAAGCAGAGGTGGCAAAGAGAAAAGGAATAAAAGAGTTCATGCAGGCCCAGCTCCTCAAAAGGTGTTTAACGCACCCCTCTGCACAGCCTGAAAGCAGGAAAGGTGGCCAGAAGCTTCTCTGCTTAAAGATGCCCCATCCACTCTTATCTGACACCAGTCACACAGGCAGCTGGTATTACACTACAGACATCTCCCAGGGGTCTCTGCCTCCCGCTCTCGCCCAAGCGTGACACGATGAGACAAGTGCGGGATGGTGAGGAGGAGGAGCAGGCTCATGTTTTGTTCGAGGTCTATTACCAGTTATTTTTCCTCTTTTGTGGCTTCCTCTTCCCCTCCCCCAATTTCCAAGACCCTAAATAATTACATCCTTTGCCTGTTCATTTCAGTAGTTACCAGAGGCAAGTCTAAACCTGCTCTCTAGATTTGCTAGCACCGAGGATTTCTCTTCACCGCCTTAAAAATAGCGTTGTCTTTTGAAGAAGCACCTCCACATTTTTCTGCTTTATTTCATAACAGTTGTTTAACATGTTACAATGGGGGGAATCCTGCATCCCATGAAATCTGGAACAAAGCTTCCCTTGACTTTCAGGGCAGCAGGACTGGGCCTGACTAACATTTTGCACAAAAGGCTGAATTTTAGAAGTGCAGAAAAAAATGCATCCATTTAACTCAGCCTTCCTCTTCTTATAGAGCCATGCTTACAGATACAGATTCAGTTCTCAGTTATTCAGATACAAGGGACTCACTCCTCCAAGCATGGTAAACTAGCCATTTGTGACTGAGTAACTGAAAATGGATAAAATGCAATCCTTGCTTCTGTAGGTAGAGCTGTAGGTACAGCTACTCAGTACCACTATCTTACAGAGGAATAGGTGAAAAGGAAGCATGAGAATAAGACTGCAGTTTTAAGATTGAGTTATTCAATGCCCGCAGCTACTTTGTGATTTTTATCCAGTTTTGACCTTGCCTTTGTAATTACTGTTACAAACCTCAAGACAATGGTTCTTTCCCCATCATTTCTATTTGGCAGTCTCCTCCCTTTCCTCCCCCCACATCTCTGTTTAACTGGCTCAAATTACAATGATAAAAGGGTATGTTCTTACAAATACAGTCCCAATTCCTGTGGTAGAGCTGTGATTTGTTTAGGACTTTCATTAGATAGCTGAAACTGAACAATGTATTTCCTCATGAAGTATTAACTCCAGTAACAGAAAATGCAATCTGCCTTGTTATAAAGTTTATAAAAATACTACTAACAAAAAACCCCCATCCTAAAACAATTAGAAAAAGAAGTTTATTTACAATGTAGAGCACTCAAAGAGGAGACCCATACCGCCTCCCCACCGTAACATTCTCTCACTCACACTCTCTCTCTCTCACACACACACACACACACACACACACACACACACACACACTAACTTTTGCTGTTGCTTTTAAATCCATCACATACAGCTCTGGACTTCATCCCTGCACGTTTCCTTCAGTGCTCAATCCGAACCACCACTACAGTGACATTATCTGCAGAACCTCGCTGCACTGCTTTGTTGGCCAGCCTGTTACAGGCTGCTTCATATCGAGTGTCAGCTGCTAGTTTCCCTTCTCTTGTTTGGATATTCTTGTCCTGTTGAAAAAGATGCATGTCATACCACACTACATTCATGCAGACGATAGTTTGATGCTGCACAATCTAACAGCAACTTAACTTGGGCAACTCTAAACATCCTCCTAGTCTTCAGGATTGTATTTCTTCCACCTCTAGGAAAAGGCCCAGACAGCTCATCTACGGAATTTCATAAGAATACAAGGAAAGATCTCATACTGGCTATGGCACAGCTCTCCTTCGTATTGGGGCTGGGAGACAATAAAATGGTGATGGTCCCATGGAGCAGAGATGGGTTATACAGGACAAATAAATAACGGTAATAAGCAATCATTTCAGAGTGAGAACATTCGACAGCATTTTAGAGAAGCTCTCATTCCGTAAGCTGACAGTATGCCACCAAAAACCATATTTCTCTTCTGTGCCCTCCCTTTCCCAGCACACCGGTATTTAGCAGAGCTGACAGCCACATCGGGCCCCTGGGTAATGGGTGGTAACTCCACACTCCTGGAAGGGACAGGGCCTCAGTCAGAAGGAGTGGGACTGCCCCAGCCCTTAGAGCTGTTTGGAGTGCACCTCACAGCACTCCAGCAGCGATTTAAAGGGCTTGGGGGCTCCGGGCCCTCTAGAACCACCAGGCCCCAGGGCACGTGTCCCCTTTGTGCCCCCGTATACTCCCCCAGACAGCAGGCCTGCTGTTATTTCACACCTTCTGCACATGCAAGCCCCACCCTAGAGCTGCCTTCTCCTCACCTCTAGGCAGGACAAGATGAAGTTCACAGCTTCTTCTGGTGAGAAGACCTTGAAGAGGCCATCACAGGCCAACAAAATGAACCTAAAAAGAAAATAAAAAATAGGCAATAGTTAGGCCCTTCCACCCTCCTACAACTACAAAACATCCCAATTGTTTTTACTAGATGCCCCGTTAGAATCTTGAGGAAGACTTTGCAAAACACAGCTAACCCTCAACAGTACTGCTATCACCTGCTGAAAAGTATGCTGATGCCCCAGAGGCTACCTCCTCGCCCTAACTAGAGAGTATGCCAGAAATATAAACATGTAGTAGCAGAGTTATGTCAGGACGAGTATGACTTTAGGCAAAGTTACTGTGTGCTGCCGAAATACAGTTCTTGCTCTTCCCTTGAAAGTTCTGTTCTTCTCTCTCCTCTGTGAAGTGGCCAGAAGTGAGGAAATAAGGGGTATGAGCACGGCTGGTACCCCAGTACAACTATTAGGGCCTCCCACATTACATCAGGCATTTTCTAACTTGACTACGGGGTCTTTGCCGTGTCAGAATTAGTCCCTTTTCCCCACCCTTGCTCATCAGATGTTTCACTTGCCCTCCCCCACTGCTTTGCCAGTCACCTTGCCCAGTCAGTAACTCAGTCCCTCCAACTCCCAGTTTCCCCCTTCCCTGCACCTTGTTCCATTCTAGAAATGATCCCTTCCAGCCCAGGTCCCCTTGGCACTTCACTGCTCTTTGTGACCTGTAACTACCAGGGGGGAGCACTGGAGTGTCCCTGCTCTATTCCAGGCCCAGCTCTTGCCTTTGCATGACCCCCAGCAGCAGAGCGAAAAATCATAAGGGAAGTCTGCTCCAGCGCCAGGAAGGAGCATAGTGCAGACAGAATCTTTGGAGATTTTAGCACAGAGGGAGGCAAACTATGGCCCATGGGCTGCATCTGGATGGCGAGATCGAGGGGTCGGGGAGTTGGACAGAAGAAGAGGCTGGGCCATGCTTAGCTGTTTGAGGACACAATCTCCAGCCCTTCATACAGTTTTCATACGCGATGGGGCCCTCAGGCCAAAAGTTTGTTCACCCTTGTTCTAGCAAATCTTTGTTGAGCATATGTGACCACCAGAATACAGGGGCACAATCAGTTCCAGAAAAGAAAAAGCTACAAGAATTTTTAACATAAGCAAAATAAATCTCTAGTCTCATTTAGTTATGACTGAAAAGATCCAAGATAGTTTAGCCTGAGGCATGCACCCAAAATATAATATTTTAGTCCAAATGGTTAGAATTTGGCAAAATTTGCAAGCAAATGAGAACAGGGTCTTAAAACAGGAATTGTCAGGCAACCTTAATAGTAGGAAGTATCAGCCCTGTTCATAATACAGCATATTAATTACTGGAGATGGTAAGTTGTTTAGTGCAGGGGCTTTGTCACTCTGTGCTCAGGCAGTGCTACATATGCTTGCACTGCTCCACACGCTGAACACTTGTGCTTTTTGATGGAGAGCCGAGTAAATTAAGAAAAGAGCTACTGCAGTGATGAGAATCAGCTTATCAGAGTCTAACTGGTGCGGACTTGAAAAGATTCTGTATTACAAACTCCTAAACAGAGAGGACACTGAACACATACCTTGCTTTACACTCTGCTTGGACATGCTTTACCTGTCATTGTGTGAAAGTTGGCAGCGTTTGATATCTGGCACAGAGATGACACCACTGCGCTTGTACTGTCCATCCCCAATGGAACGAGAAACCTCCAGCACACCCAGTACTCGCCCATCCCTGAATGATGGAAAGGAAGTCCAGATGGAACAAAATAATTCAGCTGGACACTAGCTTTCCCAACACCACACATTCCTTTCTCGCTGAAAGGGGACTGAACTGTCTCAAGCCATTGCTCAGAGCTAAAATGCAGAGGAGCTACTCCTGATGGCCTATTCTTTAGGTACTCAGTATAATAGGGGTAGTCATGTTAATCTGTAGCCACTAAAACAATGAGGACTCCTGTGGCACCTTAAAGGCTAACAGATTTATTTGGACATAAGCTTTCATAGATGGCAGCCTTAGTCCCTGTTGGGATAGAGCTATAGATCATAGCAAAGTTTTACACAGCTGATCTGCGTGCTAAGGTACTCCCTGCCTTAAATATATAGTCCAAATGCAAGACATGAGAACACACAGACTCATAATACAGGAGCAAAGTAACAATCAGAGGATTCTGATCAATGTAATACGCAGCTGTCAGAGCAAACAAGCAGTTTAATCCCACCAATGATTTTTGTAGATGCTATGGCAGAGATGAATTTTATAGAAGGATCTGAAGGTAAAAATAGAGGCTTTGCCCATGTTTGAGAGAAAGCATGAAAGTGCAGCCAAGAGCAACGAAGGCAGACATCAATGGCAGAGCAGGGGTAAAGGGCTGACAACTCATTACCATTTCTGAAATGACAAGCTGAGAATAAGCCACAAAGGGCCCTAAATTGAGACACCACTTCACCTCCTCTTTCCAAGCACCCTTACTTCCTAGCCATCTTGGAACAAATTCACAATTCTCAACTGGTTTTTCAGAAGACTAACTACAGAGACCTGTTCCTTCCTGATCTCTGCATCTCTTTGCCATTCACTTACACTGCTCCTCCAGTCATGGCCTCATCTCTGCCTAGGCCCGGATTCTCCATTTGATAGTTGCTCATTTCTTCAAGCTGTCCCATCCCTCATCAGTTTGCTCCCTCCCACCTTTTTAGATACACTGCCTATCTAATCCTCTCTTTAGTTAAGCTTTATATAGGATCATTAATACACAGCATCACTTGTATTGTGTGCTGACTAATACACAGAGCTATCTGGGCAGAGACTGAATGTACATGTTATTCGACTATAAACCTCTGAATCCAGAACAGTAGGCAGAACCTAGTCCATCACGAAAAACTTGAATGAACACCATTCAGATGTTCTCTTGTTAAACTGCAATAATTAATTCAACGTGCTGATAATTCCCTTCCTCCCTCTTTCTCTACTATAAAATGTTTAACCACTGAAACAGACAGATTCCTAGCCAATGGAGATGTTGCCTGAAGTCTGCAAAGAACTACCAGAGACTTGCTCATCTCCTTCCTACTTTGCAGAGTCGGATTGGTGATAAACACAAATAATGGCATGTGCTCACTGAAGATAAGAGACATGCCATTTCTACAGAAAGCTAGAGTTACAACAAGATGTAGCCCACTCATTCCCACATCCCGCAATGTACAATTCCAGGGACCTGTGTCTTTTGAATGTTTAGGAATTTTTAAAAACTCAAAACCACGCATCTTTATACTCTGATTTTGACTTCTCTGTAAAACTCAATGTAACTAGCTGAAACACTGACTGTGTAAAGAGGAAACACTCAGGTGATCAAATACTAAACTATAGCAGATATTCAAATATGAATACACGCCAGACTCAGTGCATTCAAGTGTACAAAGAGTGAGTGCACTTTAACAAAAGTCCAGCTCTAGAAAGAGTACCATTTTTAAATATAGGGAACATCTCAAGCCTCAGCCTTCACAAAGAGCTTGTCCATGGCAAGCTAGAGTGTCACTATCTGGCACTAGCCTGCTGTGCCAGCTGACAAACTAAAATTCTACTCTGCTTTGAAATGGGGGTATAGCAAAGCATACTACAGGGCTTTCAGGGTGCATGGACAGGATGAACACCTCACCTAGCCCTGCATTAACTGTCTATAGACAAGCCCCTAGGTGATGAATGAAGAGTGCCACTGCATGCGTAACAACATTTCAAGGACATGAACCAGCAGCTCTAGATACTCGAGGAGCAATTTTTGTTGTTGTTGTTGCTGTTATGGATTACTAGAAGATTTACCCATCATTGCTCAGGTCCTAAACTCAATTGTTGCTTTTCTTCATTTAAATCACTGCTGTGGGGGTGGGACTGGGGATGATGGGTTCAGTATGCAGGCTGCCCTGGGGACTACCCGGGCCCTTTTTCACCACAGCAGCTTGGAGCCACGTGAGAAGTGCCTCTTCATGGCTGCTGCAGCTCCAGCGGGCACAGCTGAGTGAGGGGTGCATGTCCCCCAGCTGGGGCAGGTCCAGGTTCATCTGCCCCCTGCGCTCCACAACCAGAGTGAGGAATGAAGCAAACTGTGCACTTTCCCCTTGTTCCCTGACTAAGAGGAACAGCTAGCAGTGTTCCGTATTAATGAGTGGAGGGGAGACACTGCCTCCTCACCCTCCCTAAAAGGGTGTGTGTATGGGAGGTTCAGGCCAGGGCAATCCTGGACCAGGAAAGAGGTGGAAGGGGAATACCCCCAGCCATCCCCTTTCATCGCCTGTGCTTCTTTTCCATATGGTTTTATGAGGAGCAATCCCATTCCAGGCACATCCCATTTTCCTGGCACAACCAAACCATTGCGTTGCTTTAAGTTATGATAAGAGGAAGCGGTATACCGAATTTAGTAGTCATAGCTCTTACTGTTTAAGAGGAATTCTTGGACAGACTCAGACAAAACTTAAAATAATCAGAAAATAAAGAATTTTCTTCCAAAACTTTGTAGTTGATATGTACTTGCTCAATGCCATCTAGCTTTCACTCAGAGGTACATAATATGGTTATGCCCTCCTGCTACTGCAACACAGTACTATGCCTCTAGGGTAAAGCCACCCTCAGTTTCTAAGGCCAGGAACATGAAATCTAGCCAATGATTCCAGGCATGGGATTCCTGGAGGGCACTCCATAAACAATGGTTATTCTAGCAAGAGTCTTATGTGCCTGGAATTTCAAACATGCTAAGCACAATCCCCTTCTATGGGAGTTGGGTGTGCCTGGCACGTCAATGCCAGATGGGAATTCAGGCTCATTCCCATCTCTTCTCTTGTGCACTCTTGTTTACCTGACATTTCCTCCAGCCTTCTGTATCCTCATCCGCTCCTCGTATTGGGTAGGGTTGTGTTCTTTACTGAGACTTAAGGCTGTGTGTTTTTGACTCTCCTCGTTGTAACGACACAAAATCGCCTGTGCTGACAAAAATCCCTCATAAGTGGTAATATTAAGGCTCTACCAAACAAGTGCAGAACAAAAGATTCTCAGGTTCAATTGCTCAGGAAGTAAAAACTCATACCACCACCAAAAATCATTGTATTAAATTTCATCCCCTTGATAGAGGACTGGTATTACCAAGGATATGAAGGTTCAATCGGGAAGTCCAACGATGACTGGGATGCCAGGCTGTCCCTGCCTTCTGGGTACCTGGCCCACTGCAGGCAGGAGCTGCTCTGGCATCCCAGCCAGAGCAGCCTCTGCCTGTGGTGGAGGGTAAGGACATTCCAGCATCCACTCATCCCCCTTTAATTGGTTAACCAAACAACCAGTTGGCCAATTAAATGGGATTTTACATCCCTAGGCCATCTTACACAAATAGTTTTAAAAATAATATCATGACATCACTAACTACAAGGTATCTAGCACCACCTAGAGTCTACCAGGAGACAGCTAAAGTACACAACAAATTTGCAGTATGGCAGTAAATTACATCACAATGACAGACAACTAAACATTGACAAAATATATAAGTGCTTACACACACACACACACACACACACACACACACACACACACACACTTTAAATATTAAAAAGGGAAAACTGAGTGCCTGATCTTAAATAGGATATTTATACAACAGGCACCATAGAAACTTGGTGGAATAATGATAATCAATCGGACACAGTAATACCAAGGTACAAAATATACAGGAATGACAACAGGCCGTACTTGTGGGAGAGTGGTACTATGTGAAGTGAAGGACAGTGTGCGCAATATCATAGAAAACTGAAATGAACCAAATTGTACCACAGAAAATCTCCATGAATAGAAATTCCATGCTTGATCAACAAGAATATAGAGATATACCACTAGCCACCTGTCCAAGATGGTGATTGTGACTGAAATGCTCAGGAAGACTATAAAACTAGAAGTCTCAATAATAGTGGTGGATTTCAACTCTCTATCGACTTGGTACATGTCACCTGAGGCTGAGATGCAGAGCTAAAGATATTGACACCATAAATGACCGCTTCTTGTAGAAGCTAGCCCTGGAAAACACAAGGGGAAGAGGCAATTCTTGATTTAGTCCTAAGTGGAGCACAGGATCTTGTCCAAGAGGTCAATATAGCCGAACTGCTTGATAATAGTGATAATATAATTACATTTAAAATCCCTTTGGGGGGCAAAGACAGCAAAGAAGTCCATCATTTAGCTTCAGAAGGGGCAGCTACCAAAAAAAACAACAAAAAAGCGGGTGGGCTGCTCCCAGGTGCAAGTTAGCCATTACCTGGTTAACCATTCACATCCCCAGTTGGGACTGCAGAAAGGCATTTACAGGACCTCTCAAAAGGTGTTTAATCAAAGTAAGCAGTCATGGGGTAAGAGGGAAGTTCCTCTTACGGACCAGTAACTGCTTAAAAGATGGAGGAGGTGGAAGGGTAGGAATAAATGGTCAATTTTCTGAATGGAGAGACAAGTAAACAGTGGTGGACTAGTACTGTTCAACATACTAGTAAATTATCTGAAAAAGTGGTGAAGAGGGAGGTGACAAAATTTGGAGAGGAGACAAAATTACTTGATAGGAAATTCCAAAATAGATTGTGAAGAATTACAAAGGGATCCCACAAAACTGAGTCACTCAGCAACGAAGTGGCAGATGAAATTCAAACAAACAAAAAGTACTTCTTCGCACAATACAAAGTCAGCCCGTAGAACTTGTTACCAGGGGATGCTGTGAAGACCAAAACTAGAATAGGATTCAAAAAAGAACTAGTTAAGTTCCTGAAAGATAAACCCATTAACAACTATTAGCTATGATGGTCAGAGATGCAACCTCATGCCCCCAATCTCTGTTTGCCAGAAGCTGAGGGTATATCTACACTATGGGATAAGGTCAAATTAAGATGTACAACTTCAGCTACATTAATTCAGCTATACTCACCCTTTGACTTCCCTTACTCCTCGTGGAAGCAGGGCTACTGGCATAGACCAAAGTGCCCTTTAAGTTTGAAATAGCTCTCTTAACTAGACCTGCTAATTAAAACCCTGGAAGACTGACAGTGGCAGCTCTGATCTCCTTTGTAGCATAGACATACCTTGGGAATGGATAACAGGGGATGGCTTAATGACTTCCTGTTCATTTCCTCTGAAGCCCCTGGAATTGGCCATTGTTAGAAGACAGAATACTGGGCTAGAATGACCACTGATCTGACTCAGTATGGCTGGCTTTATGTCCTTGCAAGTTAGAACCTAGAATGACTCTCAGCTACACTAAATTCCATCCTCTCAAAGAGGATAGTTTAGAAAAGAAGACTGAGGGGGGACATGAGAGCCATTTTCAGATATCTAAAAGGGTGTCATAAGGAGGAGGGAGAAAACTTGTTCACCTTGGCCTCTGAGGACAGGACAAGGAGTAATGGGCTTAAAGTGCAGCAGGGGAGGTTTAGGTTGGACATTAGGAAAAAGTTCCTGTCAGGGTGGTGAAACGCTGAAATACATTGCCTGGGGGGTTGTGGAATCCCCATCCCTGGAGAGATTTAAGAGCAGGTTAGATAAATGTCTAGCAGGGATGGTCTAGACAGTATTTGGTCCTGCCATGGGGGCAGGAGACTGGACTCGACCTCTCGAGGTCCCTTCCAGCCCTAGTATTCTATGAATCTGTGTAGGAATGGTTGGGGAGTTCTCAGCTACTTCCGTCCAGTCTCTTCCAGCAAAACTCAGTAACAATAAGGTTGTGTAGATGGGGACTTTAATTACAT